GGACCCATTTGGCAACACCCTGCTAGAAATATGCCATGAAAAAACAATAAAACACTTTGTTTTTATATGCTATTTTTCTTTGTCTATCCATTTATCATTATCACATGCCCACTATATATGAAGCAGCAAAATTTGCCATCTTAAATTAAAAGTTAAAATGTACCTGAAAAATAGCCAACGTTTGTGTGGGTGTGTGGGGCAACTTCAAGAGATAATTTTTTAAATACAATAATTTTTAAATTTGATATATGATGCCCAATAAAAATTTATTTGTTTCGATGGAAACGTTATTAGATTGTATCAATATTTTACGTTTTGAATTATAGTTGTCATTCTATATCTCAAGCTTTGACGTGTCGAATTATAGAAAATTATATAAAAATTTTTTTTTTTCGAGTTTTATCGAGCTGACCCGAGCTATAAGTCAGCTCTAACTCAGCTCGTTTGATAAATGAGTCGAGCTAAACTCGATAAATTAAAGAGTCGAGTCGAGTCGAGCCGAGCCAAGCTCACGAGCAGCTCGTTTCGTTTAACAATTTTGTTCTCGGCAATCTTTCGATTTCTCTCTACGCAATCGATTGCTTGCATAGAGAGAAATCTAATTAATGTACCAAATCATTCTAATTTTAAACCACATGTTCTCAAATTTTAATTATTATTCTCAACGAATGTTCATTCTGCAGTATTTGAATGTAGACTTTATTTTTAACATGATCTTGTTAAATCTGGAAAAGTCAAGTGGATACTCTCACGGTCTCACTAACCTGCTCCACTTGGGACGTGTGATTTATAAAATGGATTCTAATGGCCAATATGCTACCCACAATATATATATTATATTATTTTTTAAGTTGTAAACCGTATCAACCCATTTTGAAGCAGGCCTATAGAATTGGGCCATCCACACCGTGGGATTAAAAATAATTTTTGAGTCATTTATACATTTATATACCCTAACTAATAACTGTAGATCAACATATCTACATAAAGTTTATTAATTATCCATTCACCTAATATTCATTTACAAAAATTATTAACAATTCGAAGACGGTTCTGACCTGAATTTAGATTATCAAAACACATGCCATTACCATTTCATTAGAATCTCACTTGTTACCATCGCTTATCCATTTTTATTATGCTCTCAATATATATTCGAAAAGATAAACTTGTGTAGCTAGTCTCATTTGGAATTGGAATAAGAGAGACGTGGCACTATAATTGCTAGTAATTAAATGAACCATATTCCTAAAACATTATCATATACATTGGTTGAGTCTCTTTTTTCTTGAGTGTGATTGATATTATGAACGGATGACGTTAAATAAAATGAATATATTAGACTACTATATACCAAAAAAGAAAAAACATCATAAACATGTTCGGATAAAAAAATTAATATAAAAAGAGAAATCTTGTAAATATATATGTGGGTGAGTGAGGGAGAGAGATATAGAGAAAATATAATTTAATTCCAATACTATTCTAATGTAACGATTTTTTCATGCTAACTTTCATTAATACAAATGGTATGAGTAACATCATTTTATTATCCCAACAATGAATCTATATATATATATAATAAGAATTAATATTTATCAAAAATAGTAGCAAAAAAAATAGGTCAGAATTTAATGCAGCCTATAAATAATAAGTTTTATTATTTTTCTTATTTTTTTAAAAAAAATCATACAACATTAAATGTTACCTTAAATTTCGGGCTTTAGTTCATTTTATTATTTAAAAAATTCGGCTAAGATTTATTAAGTGTATGTTTTTGTTTTTGTTTTTTTCTTAGAAACAACGAACAAAATTAAAATCTCGGTCTCTATATTTATAAAATCTCAATTCATAATATAACAAAAGTTTTAGAATCTCGGTCTTTATATTTGTGTTTTTTTTAAAAAAAAAATTGAACGCTAAAAATATTCTTTAAATTGCATAATCAATCAATTAATCTTAATTTTTTGAAAATTACTATGTTTATTTTTTATTATTATGCATAAAGTAAAAATAATTAATTCATCTTAAGATATATAATTTATAATCTTAATATACTATCATTTGGTGTAGACATTTATTATATGAATCATAAAATATTTTTATTTCATAAAATTAAATATATTTAAAGAAAATAAGAAAATTTCTTCGGATCAATCAGGTGATTGAATTAGGGTACTGCCCAGGTTGATTGAATTACTTTTAGGTGATATTTAAAATAGTCAAAAAACTTAATACAACTTGGTTGGTCCCAGGTGACTAAGTTACGAATCAGTTCGATCACACAAAATCGATTATTGAACCTAAATATAAATTTTATATTGAAAATATTTTATTACGTGAATGTGATGTAGTTCAAATTTCAAATAATCGTATTAACAATACTTTTATGACAACACGTTTAATGATTTATGAATATTTATATATCATTTTATTAATATTTATGTGAATAAGAAATATTTTGTTATAATATTTATTAATGTACATTAAATATAAGGTTCTCAGAACTGGACCGTCATCGAAACGATCAAGCTATTTTATTAAATCATTCGTGGTTTGTTCAGATTTTAATTTATAAACATTTTAATATATATATATATATATATATATAGTATTTTTTTGTAATAAATTTAAATAAACTGTGTTACTTAGATATTTAAAAAAATTATAAATTCAAGTGTTTAAACTAATTGATAAATAATTTATAAATCTCTATTTTATTTAAATATGTAATTTTATTTAAAATAATTTTAAATATAACAAAATTTATTTAAAAAATCGTGTCGATCCTACAAATCCAACCGACTGGTGTTGACGGATTCAAGAGCAAATATCTTATTCAAGCGAACTAGACTGGTTATAAATCGGTTCTCCGTCCATCCGGTCGGACTATGTCCAACCCAGTTTAATGTAAAAACAATACATAAATCATGATTAATGTTATTTATATATTTAATTTATAATACAATCGTAATATTGTTTACTCGTGCATTGCACGGGCCACGCACTAGTTATACTAAACATAGCACTTGTATATCCCAACAATGTATGCCGAGTTTAGCAAAAATTTGTTCCCCAATAACTGGCGCTGTAATGGTGAATTATGCTTATGAAATAAGATAAAATCACGGGAAATTGGCGTATTTGCGTTAATTAAAAGAGGAATTAAAGCATTTTACGAACTCGTGGCTGTTATTATTCTGTGAAATCCATGTAGGGTCCAAATTAGAATCTGCCAACAAACTCTATTAAATGGTTGATTAGACCCAAACTTATTACGTGGCGTCATGCTATTGGCGCCCAACAAGATCATCAAATTTCCCTTTCTTAAGAGATATAAGTTTGACGCTAGATTATATCATCCGCGTGAATGTTTGGATACATTTTTTTTTTTTTAAAAAAAAAATCATTTTTAATTAATTACTCTTTTAACTAAAATAACTCAATATTAATCTACATTCATTATTTTAAATATAATTAAATAATACCACTTAATTATTTTTATATATTATATTAATTTTAATTCATTATTCAACCATTCACATAATTTTAATTAACTATCGTTTCACATTATATCTCTTCTACTTTTACATCAAATCAACTTTAAATATGTTATTATAGATATTATTTTAGTATAAACTCAAAGTTCCATTAACTCAAAATTGAGCTCGTGGAATTACTCCTATCAATTAATCATTCATACTTATATTTTTTTTAATTTTCATTGAGGAACCCATTATCTAAAATTAAATTATAAATTAATTCTTAAACATTATACACATCTTCATGCCAGCTGTTGGGAAGCCAAACTAGGCCCATATCTAGGGCCTTTATTTACTTGGGGCCTCATTTTTTTTAATATTATGTATTGTGTTGAATTTGGTCTTTTTATACAAATGAATAGGCTAATGGCTAAATATGAATTTGGTTCATTACAAAAATGAAGGGACTAATGGCACAATATATACTTTGTTTGGAATTTGAGGTCCTAAATGTTTCATTTATTTTCTTATGATGATGTTCGGTCAGAACAAATTGTGTGAGAATAGATATCGTAAGAAACGGGAGTTGACGGGTGCAGTCTCACTGACATGAAGCACACCAAAGTAGGGAAACCCAAATGAATCTCAAGTGAGGTTCCATCCCAAAATCAATTGGTGGTAGGAAGAGCAGTCCACTAGATTTATAAGTTAGATATATTTTCCTTATATAGACGACTTGGGATAACTGACAAGTGTATATTCTAACAAGTCCCCCTTACTTGTGAGTCCTTCATATGAGGCTTAAGCCCAACTGGACTGGGTGATGAGTATGACATTACACGGTCTCATGTAGACCCAAAACCCAACTGGGTTGGGTGAACCAGCTCTGATACTATGTAAGAAACGAGACTTGACGGGTGCGATCCCACGGACGGTCCCACGTAGACCCAAAGCCCAACTGGGCTGGGTGAACCAGCTCTGATACCATGTAAGAAAACGGGGGTTGACGGGTGCGGTCCCACAGACATGAATCGCACCAAAGCAGGAAAACCAAATGAAGCCCAAGTGAGGTTTCATCCCAAAACCAATTGGTGGTAGGAGGAGTAG